CCAACTTCCCCAACACCATTTATTGAAGAGACGGTTTTGACTCCATTGTATGCTCTTGCCTCCTTTGTCGAATATTAATTGGGCATAGTGGTTTGGGTCAATTTCTGGGTTCTCTAGTCTATTCTATTGATCTATATGTCTGTTCTTGTGCCAGTACCAGGCAGTTTTGAGAACAGTGGCTTTGTAATACAGCTTGATATCTGGTATTGAAATCCCACCTACTTTGTTCTTCTTTCTCAGGATTGCTGCAGCTATTCGAGGTCTTTTTTTATTCCAGATGAATTTTTGGAACGTTTGTTCTAGATCTGTGAAATATGCCGTTGGTAATTTAATGGGGATTGCATTGAATCTATAGATTGCTTTGGGTAGTATGGACATTTTGATGATGTTGATTCTACCAATCCATGAACACGGTATGTTCTTCCAGCTGTTTGTCTTCCTCTATCTCTTTTTTCAGTGTCCTGTAGTTTTTTGCATATGAGTCTTTTATCTCCTTAGTTAAGTTTATTCCTAGGTATCTTAATTTTTTTTGATGCGATGGTAAATGGGATTGCTTTTTAAAAAAACATATTTTATTGATTTTTTACAGAGAGGAAGGGAGAGAGATAGAGAGTTAGAAACATCGATGAGAGAGAAACATCGATCAGCTGCCTTCTGCACATCTCTCACTGGGGATGTGCCCGCAACCAAGGCACATGCCCTCGACCAGAATCAAACCCGGGACCCTTCCATCCACAGGCCGACGCTCTATCCACTGAGCTAAACCGGTTTCGGCAGGATTGCTTTTTTAATCTCACTTTCTGTAAGTTCACCATTGGTGTAAAGAAATGCCATGGATTTCTTGGCATTAATTTTGTATCCTGCTACATTACCGAATTCATTTATTAAGACTAATAATTTTTTGATGGAGTCTTTAGGGTTCTCTATGTACAGTATCATGTCATCTGCAAATAAGGACAGTTTTACTTCTTCTTTTCCAATTTGGAAACTTTTTATTTCTTCTTCTTGTCTGATTGCAACGGTTAGTACTTCCAGTACTATGTTGAACAGGAGTGATGAGAGGGGGCATCCCTGTTTGTTCCTGTTCTTAGGGGGAATGGTTTTAGTTTTTGCCTATTGATTATGATGTCGGCTGTGGGTTTGTCATATATGGCTTTTATTATGTTGAGGTATGATCCTTCTATTCCTACCTTGCTGAGAGTTTTTATCAAGAAAGGGTGTTGAATTTTGTCAAAAGCTTTTTCTGCATCAATTGATATGATTATGTGGTTTTTTTCCTCTCAATTTGTTTATGTGATGTATTACGTTTATTGATCTGCGGATATTGTACCATCCTTGCATCCCTGGGATAAATCCTACTTGGCCATGGTGTATGATCTTTCTGATGTACTGCGGGATCCGATTTGCTAGGATTTTGTTGAGGATTTTGGCATCTATGTTCATGAGGAATATTTACCTGTAATTCTCTTTCATTGTGTTGTCTTTATTTGGTTTTGGTATTAGGGTGATGCTGGCTTCATAGAATGAGCTTGGAAGTGTTCCTTCCTCTTGAATTTTTTGGAATAGTCTGAGGAGGATAGGTTTTAGTTCTTCCTTGAATGTTTGGTAAAACTCCCCTGTGAAGCCATTTGGCCCTGGGCTTTATTTTTATTTTATTTTATTTTTATTTTAAAAATATTTTATTTATTTTAAATAAATAAATTTACATTTTTAATGTGACTGGGGATAAGAGAATAAATAATATTTATAAAACTAAACTAAAATAATAATAAAAATAAAATAAAAATAAAATAGAAATAAAAAATAAAAGAAAAATTAAACTAAACTAAAATAAAATAAAATAAAAAATAAAATAAAAATAAAATAAAAACTAAATAAAAAATAAAATAAAAATAAAAAATAAATAAAATAAAATAAAATATAAAAACTAAATTAAAAAATACAATAAAAATAAAATAAAAATAAAAGCTATATTAAAAAATAAAATAAAAACAAAATAAAAATAAAAATAAAAAATAAAATAAAAACCAAAATAAAAAATAAAATAAAACTAAAATAAAAGTAAAATAAAAAAATAAAATAAAAATAAAAACTAAATTAAAAAATACAATAAAAATAAAATAAAAATAAAAACTAAACTAAACTAAAATGAAATAAATATAAAAGATAATAAAAAGAGCCGAAACCGGTTTGGCTCAGTGGATAGAGCGTCGGCCTGTGGACTGAAGGGTCCCAGGTTCGATTCCGGTCGGGGGCATGTACCTGGGTTGCGGGCACATCCCCAGTGGGAGATGTGCAGGAGGCAGCTGATCGATGTTTCTCTCTCATCGATGTTTCTAACTCTCTATCTCTCTCCCTTCCTCTCTGTAAAAAAATCAATAAAATATATCTTTTAAAAAAAGATAATAAAAAGAAAATAAAAATAAAAGAAAAATAATAGAAAAATAAAATAAATATAAACTAAAATAAAAATAAAATAATAATAAAAAATAAAATAAAAAACAAAATAAAGTTAAAAAAGTAAAATAAATAAAAATAAAATAAAAACAGTAGTTGCACCAGTCTCATTCCCACCAGCAGTGCAGAAGGGTTCCTTTTTCTCCACATCCTCTCCAACACTTGTTGGTTGTTGATTTGTTGATGATAGCTATTCTGACAGGTGTGAGACAGTACCTCATTGTTGTTTTAATTTGCATCTCTCAGATGACTGAGCAGACATTTTTTTAAAAATTCTTACCTGAGGATAATTTTCCATTTTCAGAGAGAGTGGAAGAGAGAGGGAAAGACAGAGAGAAACATCGATGTGGGAGAGACACATTGATTGGTTGTCTCCTGCATGAGCCCTGACCAGGGCCTGGGCCAGGGAGGTGCTTGCAACCAAGGTACGTGCCCTTGACTGGAATTGAACCCCGGGACCCTATGGTCTGCAGGCCAACACTCAATCCACTGAACCAAACTGGCTAGGGCCTGAGCAGACATTTTAACAATTGTGATAAAGACAGTGTAAATAAATGTATGAAAAAATGCTCACCATCAAAAATTCTTAAGTAAATAGAATTAAAAAGAAAGTGAGTAAATACTATACTCATTTATGGTGATAGTATTTTAAAAGATTAACCATAGCATGTGCTGGCAGGGTTGCAGAAACTGTGAAATTTTCATTACTGTGGGTGGATGGGAATGCAAAGGGAATGGCCATTTTAGATCACAGTTACACATATCTTATAATGTAACACATTCACCTACAAAAAAACACTATATACTAGGTGTACCAGTTAATAATGGTGGATTTTGTAATTAAAACATGATAATGTCAAAAGAAACATCAAAAGTGCTTTATTCAAGGTAATGTCCATTGCTAGCTACACATTTCCCCCATCTTTCAGGTCATTTGTGGATACCGACCCAATAGAACTTTTCTTGTTTTGAGGCAAACCATTCAGAGACCCAATTTTCCACTTCTTCGTACGTTTTGAAGTGCTGCTCAGAAAGTGCATGTGTCATCTATTGGAACAAGTGCTAATCTGAAGGAGCAAGGGCTGGTGAATATGGTGGGTGGGTTAATACTTCTCAGGCAAGATCTCTCAACCTGCCTTTAACTGGTTTTGAAGTGTGTGATGGTGCATTATCATGAAGCAAAATTACTTTGCTGTGTCTTCTGGCCCATTCACCATCAAAGCATGGTTCAAATTGATTATTTGTTGTCGGTAGTGATCAGTATTAACAGTTTCACCTGGTTTTAGAAGCTCATAATACACCACACCTTCCTGATCCCACCAAATGCAGAGCATTGTCTTCTTTCCGAAGCGATTTGGCCTTGCAGTTGATGTTGATGATTGACCTGGATCAACCCATGATTTTGTGCATTTGGGATTCTCAGAATAAATCCACTTTTCATCACCAGTCACAATTTGATGCAAAAAAGACATTCTTTTGTGCCATTTTAGCAAGATTTTACTGATGACTTTTCGGTTTTCCATTTGTCTTTTGTTCAGTTGATGTGGCACCCATTTTCCTTCCTTTAAAATCTTTCCCATTGCTTATAAAAGATCAAAATTGTTTGCTGAGCAACCTTTAATTTTTCTGCAAGTTGTTTTTGAGTTTCACATGCATCTTCATCCAATAATGCTTGTAATTATTGGTCTTCAAACTTTTTCGGTTGACCTGAATGTTTTTTGTCTTTCACATCAAAATCATCTCTTTTAAAGTGTTTAAACCAGCGTTCACAAGTATCTTGAGATGGAACATGTTCACCATAAGCTTCCCGAAGTATACAGTAACTTTTTCTTCAATATAATGAATTAAGACTTCCCCAAAATGCTCTTTTTTTGGCATGAAATTTTAACTTTTTTAAGCATAAAAATATCTATGATGTTAACACCTTCAGCAAATTTGACATATGAAGTTTTGAAGCTTGTTGTCAATACAACAAAATAGTATACATATCAAATCGCATATATCTCAACATATTAAAAAAAATCTGCATTATTAAATGGTACACCTAGTATATAAAAGGCTAAGTGACCAACCGGTACATATGATGTGCACTGGCAATTTAGAAATAAATGTTGACTTGCACATGCCTGATACATATAAAGCTCTCACTGACACCAATTGCACGTGTGTGTTTCCATCTGTCATTGTTGATCATGAATTTGGTTGACACTTCTATTATAGAGAAAGAGTGAATAGCAATATTAAAGTATTTCTTCTAATTAATTTCCTTTCAATGTTCACGAATCTGTGCACCGGGCCACTAGTATCTATATAAAGTGAAAGGCCCTGGCCGGTTTAGTTCAGTGGGTAGAGCATCAGCCCGATGATTGAAGGGTCCTGGGGTTGATTCTGGTCAAGAGCATGTGCCCAGGTTGTGGGCTTGATCCTCAGTAAGGGGCGTGCAGGAGGCCGATCAGTGATGTTCTCTCATCATTGATGTTTCCATCTCTCTCTCCCTCTCCCTTCCTCTCTGAAATCAATAAAAATATATTTTAAAAAAGAAGTTAATGCAAATATTCCTAGCCGATTTATTTATAATATCCCAAAGCTGGAAATGACCAAAATCATAGACAGATCAATAGATAAAGTGGTAATTCACAGATCACAATACTACTCAGCAGTAAAAAATTAACTATTCACATAAGCATTTGTATTGAATCTCAAAATAACTGTGCAGCATGAAGAAAACCAATATTTGTTAAAGAGTACACACATTATAGTGCCTATAAAATTATAAAAATATGAACTAATGCATTGTAATGGAAGGAAAATCAATACTTGCAAGGAGGACTGGAGAAATAAAGAGATTATAAAGGGGCAGGAGGTAAATATAGGGTGTGCCAAAAGAGTTATTGGTATGGAAATTAATACAATAATTAACAAATAATAATACAAGAATGTACTCTGCCCTGGCCAGTGTCACTCAGTCTGTTGGGCATCACCCCCACACTTAAAGGTCACTAGAACAGGTCAGGGCACAAGCCCTCCTCAAACCCCAGTAGGGGAGAGCAGGAGGCAGTGATTAATGTATCTCTTTCATATAGATGTTTCTCTCTCATTCACCTCCCTTCCATTTCCCTAAAAGAAACAATATAAGTAATGTTTAAAATATTTTTTAAAAACTCTGTGTTTTGGGTGCTCAAAATTGTAAATCTATTTTTGCTCCACTGTGTATATTGGTGACAGATAAGTTTGTTTCATGTATGATGGTTTCACAGCTTTATATGTACATCAAAGCTCACCAAATAGTACACATTAGAAAAGGGCAGTTTGTTGTATGTCAGTTTTCCTATTCTGGGAGGAAGAGCCTTGCCTCAGTGGCAGGAAATATTGGCAAGCAGTGTAGATTATTGCCATCAGAACCAACAGGAGTGCTGAGTGGTTACAAAAGACACAAACTGGGATTCATTATAGGATTATCCTTCCTCTATCTTTGAGTTCTTGCCTGTTGAGCAACAACCTTGAGGTGAACACCCTATAGGGGCCAGGGGAATCCACACCACTTTTATATTATTTTTTCTGCCAATGGCTTCAGCTACAGGAAATAGTTATGGAGGTCCTCAGAATGTCCTAAATGATCATACGAGCCAGAGGCCCTGGAATAATTTTGGATTTATGTCAAGAAGAGGCACTTTTCATCTCATTTAACTATAGTCTCTCCCATTTCCATGAAAACAGTGTTTCTGTCCCAATACTAATTCCACCTCAGAGTATTACAAGTGACAACAGTCTATGGAATTTCATACATCATGGCACATGTCCTCTTTGGAGCATGTATAGAGTAGTTCTCTAAACATTGTTGAAACTTATATAATACACTAGAGTCCCGGTGCACGAAATTTGTGCACAGGTAGGGTCCCTAGAACTGGCTGAAAATCAAGGCTGATTGGGGGCTTCAGATTGCTGGCCGGGGCCTTCCTTCTCCTGGCTGCCAGCTGGGGGCCTTCCTTCGTTCTGCACCGCCCCCTGGTGGTCAGTGCACGTTATAGTGAGCGGTTGAACTCCCGAGGGGATAATTTGCATATTAGCCTTTTATTATATAGGATATTGTGAACAGAGATCATAATTCATATTGTTTGTATAAGCACAATGAAGGCCTCCTCTTTAGGATGACCATTGACCTCACCAATAATGGAGACACCAAACTTCAAATTAAAAACAAAAAGTCATGTACACTTTCATTTAAGGCCTTGGTCAGCAATACAAAATTAGCCAATATTAGACAAAGAGGAATTTTCTGCTATCATGCTATGACGTCCAAAGCACAAAAGTTTGGGACCACACCATATCCATTTATCTCTCCATGCTGACAGATCACAACTTTCCATTCCAATCATCCCAGGCAGTGAATAGAACAAATGAATTAAAGGTATAAAAGAAAAAAACAACTTTACAAAAACATAAAAGGAGCAGAGGACAGCAAGCAGTTTGCAGGTTGGTGAATTAGAACCTGAAATAATTCATCAAGCTAATGTGAGAACTACAATGTCCCTGTCAGAAATAGCACTTCTTAGCTGAGGACAGGTGCTCTGGATGAACCCTGGGTCAGGTGCATTCCCTAGTCAGAGATAAAGGAATGAAGATACTGCTAAGAGGTCATAATAATCATAATTTCCTCAAGCACAAGTGAGAACACAGAATATATTTCCCCTGAGCACACAGGTGATGTTACCAATGCACATTCTTCAGGTGGTAGAGGTGAAATTGTTTCAGCCACAAATATATGCAGTGACATCAATCGGGTATTAGGTCTGGGCAGGTTGGCAAATGCAGATCCTTCAAGCCTCATTTGTACTTGAAGCTTATGAAGAATCTAGCAGAGTGTATGTTTTGACAAAAGGAGTTTATATTTGGTAAATGGGTCCCAAAGTATCTCCTTCAGTGTTTTCATTCTGAGTGAGAAAGATAAAATATGATCTGGACATTTAAGGCTTTTCTCCAGTGTGAACTCTCAGGTGTGTGAACAGACTATGTTTGTGGCTAAAATATTTCCCACACACACTAGACTCAAAAGGTTTTTCTCCAGTGTGAACTCTTTTGTGTTTAAGGAGGTGATTATTGTACCTAAAAGATTTCCCACATCCACTACACTCAAAATGTTTTTCTCCAGTGTGAACTGTGATGTTGAATGAGGTTAGAGCTTTGACTGAAGGACGTCCCTCAATCACTACATTGATACAGCTTTTCTCCAGTGTGAACTCTGTGGTGTTGACTGAGGTTAGAGCTTTGACTGAAGGACTTCCCACAATCACTACACTCATATGGCTTTTCCCCAGTGTGAACTCTGTGGTGTTGACTGAGGTTAGTGCTTTGAGTGAAGAACTTCCCACAATCACTGCACTCATATGGCTTTTCTCCAGTGTGAACTCTGTGGTGTTTAATGAGGTTAGAGTTATGACTGAAGGACTTCCCACACTCACTACATTTATACGGCTTTTCCCCAGTGTGAACTCTTTTGTGATTAAGGAGGTGACTATTGTACCTAAAAGATTTCCCACATTCACTACACTCATAAGGTTTTTCTCCAGTGTGAATTTTCTGATGTTCAATGAGATTATAGCTTTTGCTGAATGACTTACCACAATTACTACACTCATAGGACTTTTCTCCAGTGTGACCTCCCCTATGTTGATTGATGTTAATAATACATCTAAAAACTTTACCACATTTGTTACACTCATATTTCACTTCACCAGAGCAGACATCCTGATATTGAACAAATTTATGTCTGTGGTTTGCAGCATTTTCACGTTTGCTCCACTGTTGATGACTTTTTCCACTGAGAAATTTCTGTGAAGTCTCACTGCCACTGTGAGGCTCCTCGGTATTAAGAGTTGCCTGGGGCTGCAACAGCCCTGAGCTGGCTGGCCAGTGTTTCCCAGTCTCTCTAGTGGTTGAAGGCACCCCTGATAAGTAGAAGGTGCAGCTGGTCACAAAGGAGGCCCCATCCATAGCTTCTTCCCAGGGCTTCTCTCCACTGGTATCCCTCTGTTGCTGGTGATGGTTTACATTGGAAGAGAAGTTTCTCACAGATTTGTCACTGAAGAAGGCTTTCTGCTCAATGTATGCTGCTTGTGACTCAGTCAGGTGCAGAATAACTTTTAAAACTGAGAAACATCGTTTACAGAGATGGGTCTTCTGGGTTGCTGTAGCTGTCTTAGAAGCCATGAATTTTGACTCTCCTTGTACAGAAATACTCTCATCAGAACAGGTGTCCTCCTTTTCTGTTTTATGCCAACAACCTGAAAACCAAAAAATGATGAGAAAATGAATGTTGACTGTGGTGACGGGGGAAATTCCATTACAAAAGTATGTTGCACATGTTACCTTGGAAAATATTTGCAAGAAGGATTTACAAGATGCTGCTATGAAGTTCTGGGCTACTGAAGATCAAAAACAATAAACACCTCAAATGAAATATGATACAAACATGGCAGGCACTACATGGAACACAAGAGGGATCACACACTCATTCTTCTGCTAACAGCATTCAGCAGGGCTTCTCTGCTAGTGACATGAGCAAGCTGTGTAGAATGTTGGTTACATCTTATTCCAAGTAAAATTCAATAAATGAATAGCTTGTGTTTGAGGTCTACTTAAGCATGTATGTGCACCTCATAACACATGTGCAGGTCAATGTTGGAGAATAATGCAGAGAAAGCCTTGCAGGGGGACAGGTGATGCAAAATGTTATCTTTTCCCCATTTGCCACTCAACAAGGCCAGGCCTCCTCTGAGACCATCCTGCATGTTCACCCTGTAAAAAACCAGGGTTCTCCCTGCACTTTCCACTGTAAAATTACATAAAACCTAAATATTCCAAGTATTAATGAAAGACAACAGAGGTGAGCAGCCAGCACTGGCCCAGGGCAGCTCAGCATGCAACAGTATTTGGGGAAGAGAATATTACAAACAATGGAAGGAGAGTCTCTCAAGAACTGCCCATGGTTCATGTAAGTAAAGACCATAACCAGGCACAGGCAGTCACCAATGATCTTTAGCAGGAGGAAGGGTGCAGAAGTGGAAGCCAGGGATCTAGACATAGTCACTCTCCCAGGAAATGGAAGTTAAGGTGGGTCCCATTAAACTGTCTGCAAGACTGGGGACTTCTACACACTCCCTGCACACTCTGAGGCAATGGGGTTAGGGGTGCTTGGTGAGTCCATTGCTCAGGGCTCTCCACACAGCTCAGCACTGGCATCCACAGCACATTTTACAAGAATGTGGGGAAAATTGGCAGAGCCCCTGGTTTGGCTGTGGGAGGGAGAAAGTTACATCTGGAGAAAAAAGGTAGAGAGGCCATAACCTCAGGACAGTAGGAGAATGTGAAAGTCTTACCTACAGATGATATAAGTGCAAAAACTTCCAGCATCACATCGTAGTATAGATGTCTCTGATCCTCATCAAGCAGTCCCCACTCCTCCTGAGAGAAGGCAATGGCCACGTCCTCAAAGTTCATATCCTGTTATAATGGGGACAGGTGACCCATGATCAGCATCTCTCCTATGATTTTATGTTTATCATACTCCCCACCTTCCACACCCATCCCTCCACATCTCTCCCTCTACTACCTTCATCAAAGGAGGTATCAGGCCTCTGTCCCATCAAAGTAACTCTCTTCTTATGTTCCAACTGATACTTTGTCTTCCCACAACAATAAAGGCTGATAAGCAGATAGAAGATATCTGAGTTCTGGGCCTCACATGTAGGCCATACTTCCTCTTAACAATACAGTTGATGTCCCCAACATAAGGTAGGGAGAGATTTTGGCCATGAAGAGAGTGTGAATGATTTGTCATTGGTTTTATCAGACATTCCCTTGAAGTGCCCCAGATTGTCCTCCAAGACCCAAAAAAGCATGGCATCACACTTCACCATTTGGAACTCAATTCCAGGATGCTGAGTCCATCACTTTGCACTAATTCTTTGAAATACAGTTCTTTGAAACACACTCCTCTCACACAGCCTATTTCCCAGAGTCACAACTTCAAAGAAAACAAATACACTGTAATGAGGCCAGGTTTTGTCCCAATCACCTTCTTTTCCAAAATTCTAAATCACCATTCTGTAAAGTATTTCTCTCCTACCCTCTGCCTTCCTAATGCCAGTGGAGATTTTCAAGCCCAGGTGACACTGATGTATGCTATAGTGTTCCTAATGGTCACTGTATCAGCCCTCAACAATTGACAGGTGTGTAAATACATAACACCTAAGCTCTGTATATTGCATGTAGCATGGCAACACCCCTCTTTTCAGACAATTACACTAAAATTCCACTTATTATATCAGCCAAGCACCCCCCAAAATGGATTCACCTTTCATTCACTCTTTAGTCAATGTAAAGACCCTATTGCCATGAATTAACATACCCTCTCCAAGTGCACATCAGTCTTTCTAGCACACCTCTCTCACACCTGCACTCCCACAGCCCTATCCCCCATAGTCATCTTCTTAACCTCCTACTCGTTACTTGGCATGTTGTGGCCTAGAAAATGAATGCCTGGTCAATTCAAAATGGATGAGGTACTTCCTCAACTTTGGTAGTCCACACTCAGAGAAGCAGCCTTGAATCCTTATATAAAGCCCTCCCTCCCTGATTGAGAACCACATCAGATCTCAGATATCCAGAGCCCACCTTCACCTGTGCTGCACTTGATGTCCCTTCACGAGTCATAGTCTTCATCATTCAAGTCCCATCACCTATGTCTCTCTAACCCATGCTCAGTGAGTCTCATGCCCGCAATTCCACCAAATTGACTGCAACTCCCCAGGCCATACCAATGGTCACCAAAAAAATCATGGTAAGAGTTTAGAGAAGTAAATATGGACCAACCCCAGTTTTATCATCTTTGAAATACTATTTAGCATCCAATTACAGACAAACATAACAAAACACAAAAGGTGATCTAGAACTCCCCCCATAAATTTTCCACTACCTTTTTTAAAGAAGTCTTCATATTGAACTGTTCATCAGAGTTCTAGATGCTCATAAAATGCTCTCTGAAATAATCTAACAGATCAAAAATAAAAGTTTTTGTATCCCCAATAAACATTAATCTATGACTTTCTCCATCTCAATTGATGTTGATTCCATACCTCCAGCTGCTAATTTCATACCTTCACTTCATCATTGAATATTACCTTCCTCTTTCCCAAACACAAAATTAGAAAATCCAGATGTCCACACCTAAAATACTAATCCAGAATGCAACTGCGACTTCCCCTCCACAAGGGCAAGTTACCATCACACTCACCAAGACCAACATAGCAACTTCTTTCTTTGTCTTCCTACCACCTCCCTCAAAGGCATATTGTTCATCATGCTGCAGACACAGGGAATCTAATGAGACCTGGGTCAGATCACCTGACTCCACTGCTCTAATTATCCCAATGATCCCATCACCTGGAGAACCAAATCCCAAGTTGTGACAAAGCTCCTCTAGGCCTGACTCCTGTCCCACTGTTACCACTTTTATTTTTTTAGAAAAATAAAAAAGGATACCTGCATGTCCCTAAACCAACTCAGTCTTTACTCCAAGCATTTGCACATTTGCACATTTGCACATTTACCTGGGAGGACCTCCTGCATCTCATTCCACAGGTTGCCAATATCTGGGAGCACTTCATACAACTCGAGACCTGGACTTAGGGTTCTGGACTTAGTGTGTTTGCTTAAGGTTCCCAGGCCCAAAGACTGGAAGAGTGGCAGGACAGTCCCAAGACTCCACTATCTCATACACCACAGGAGTGTGAGGCCCTGAAATAAGCTGCACAAATCAGTATCCCTAAGCGATTCTGTACTAGCAGGAATCTGTGGAAAGAAAAATGTCTGTTGAGAACCTGGCAACCACCGCCAGGATCCGTGGGCTCAGGCTGCTCAGTATGTTTGCCAGCCCCAGGCCAAGTCACCTGGAGATGCCTGCATTACCTCAGGGCTTCAGCCTTCAGTGCACATTCTTGCCTAGTTTCTTATCTTTCAAAGGAGTTCTCCTTTCTATCCTCAAAGGGTATCCTCTCCCTTCTAGTTTGTTCTTCCTCTGAGCCTTTGGGAAAAGTTTAGAACTCTACTTCAGACAATGTCCCTCTTTTATTCTCCACCATCCATGGTCCTAGGTTCCTGAGAATGAAACTAAAACTTCTCATTCAAAAATTTGCTTTATTTTCTCTGTTGCCCTTAAGTACAAAACAGGCCCAAGATTCCAGAATCCTCCCAACTCAGCCACATCAACCAAAACCTTACAGGGTGTCATTGTAGCCTGTCACCCTCTTTCCCCCATCACAACATGTATCACCCACAAGCGACTCACTGTTTTGGATTCAGTGACCTGGGTTTCAAGACCTGATAGGCACCAGCACCCAAGGATGGAGGGTAAATGGAGTGAGGCTAGTAGAACTCTGCAAGCAAAGCAGAGTCTGGGAGGAACATAGGCCTCAATACTGGCTGCTGCTGCTCATCAAGCTATAGACAAACCACTGCACAAAGGGGATGCTGCTTCTGATGCCTTGTCCTAGTTGTGACTCAGCACTGGAGCCTCTGACTTCATTAACAGAACAAAGAGCTCAGAATGAACACTTTGAGAAAGTAGCGGTAATACCCAAACCAATCAACACTGGTATATAAACCTGTCCTGGGCTTTCGTTGGCTAAATGCAGCCATCATTGGGTGCATTGTCCTTTGGGTAACTTACTTTTTCAGGCCCAACAGATGGCATTAGGATCTTAGTCACTGACTGATCAATGCAAACATTGGTGTTGGGGCGCTCCAGTGGCACTGGGGAATGACAACTTTAGGATTTGGGGACTGGTCCCAGATTTCTGGGAAGTGTCTGCAACTGATCTTTTGAGATACTATTTCAGATTCCATGAAGCTCTGAATTTTCCCACATGTGAAAAGCATTATTTTAATTATTCCCAAGGACCACAAATCTAAATGGTTATGTTGTTTAATTTTTTATTTGATTTTTAGGGAGAGGGGAAAGGAAAGGTAAAGAGATTGAGAAGGCTAACCCCTATTTTGTAAAACTACTGTTTGGAATTCTCTGCTATTCTTTAGACAGCCTCTTTTTTTTTTTTTTTAAATATATTTTAATGATTTTTTACAGAGAGGAAGGGAGAGAGATAGAGAGTTAGAAATATTGATGAGAGAGAAACATCGATTAGCTGCCTCCTACACACCTCCTACTGGGGATGTGCCCAAAACCCAGGTACATGCCCTTGACCGGAATCGAACCCGGGACCTTTCAGTCCGCAGGCCGCCGCTCTATCCACTGAGCCAAACCGGTTTTGGCTAGACAGCCTCTTACTCTAAAAAAATAACTTTGCTTTCTAGCCTGCTTGAATAATGAGGAAGATAAACTTAGCTGTCTGACCTTGTAGGCCAGAGACTAGATATGCTCAATGCCATGCCAGGTGCATTTTTTAATTGGATAGAACTGTGTAGTTTTCAAGGCCACCAGCGAGATAACTACTAAGCGCACATAGGGCTGGCTCTTTCATAAAAAGGGAAGTTCTGCTTGTAGCTCTGCTTAGAATTTGAATTCATTTTCTCTAAGACCACCGCGGTGAATAAAGTGTGACTCCAAACTCTCTGAGCATTGCTTGGTTCTTCTCCGGGTTTTTCTGTTATTGGTTCCCTGACTCGGAAGACCAACCCATGCTTGGCCTTTTTGTCCTCTGGTGATTGGACCGGGTTTGGGGCCCGGGGGGGGGGGGGGGGAACTGGACAAGCCTCTGAAAGGCGCGCCCTGCTGATCTTAGCAGAATTAAACCAGGGACTCCAGGCGCTCCTGGACCTCAGCCAGGACCCGGCCAGTATCTGGAGAGCATGGATGGACACCTCTGGACCTGTCGACAGAATCGGTAAGGTAGGGGCCCCAGTCAGTCAGGCCCACTCTGAGTGAGTGGAAGGAGAGCTTGATCACCTCCCGGGAAGCCATAGGGTTTCCTTAGGCAATTAGTCAGAAATTGGGTGGATTGTTTAAACTCTGAGTGAATGTCTGGTGAAAGTGTGTGAGTGTGGAGGGAGGGGGCCTGCCCTCTCCTCTCCTTTGTGTGGCTCCACGACTTCGGTTACGGAGTCCGAGTGGGCCCCAACCTGCGGTTCCGCAATTCGTCATATGGCATAATGGTGACTCACCCCCACATGGAGGTGACCAGGCCCGGGGTTTATACGGGTGCACCTTAGCTAAGATGAATCTAAGCTCCCAAGGGACGCGGCCAGGCGGGTATCTGGGTGAGGATCTGTGAAAACGGGTCACCCCCTCCCTTGTCTGTCTTTTGCCACCGATCATCATGAGGTCGGGACAAAGTAAACCCACTGTTCTCAATTGCATGTTGAAACATTTTAGAAAGGGATTCAATGGGGATTATGGAATTAAAATGAGTACTGAAACATTGAGGAAATTCTGTGAAGTAGAATGGCCAGCCTTCGGGGTCGGCTGGCCCTCGGAAGGCTCTTTAGAT